AACCCAGGCTTTGCAAGAGTCAGAAAATGCTCAGTTTCGAAAATAGATTCATAAAAGTGTGCGTACCATCGATATAGGCAGTACGTATAGACTGCCAGTCTGGACTAGCCTTTACACGCCAATGTGTTTGTTCGCGTGTAACGTCGACCGGCCGCGGGGCAGCAGCCGGCACCGATCCGGCTTCTTCACGGTGCAACTGATGCGTTTCCAATACCGGTCGCATAACAGTGGTCCTGAATGCCCGCCGGTCGGGCACGGATGGATCGTCGTCGATAACGTCGAAGAATCTCTGCCCTTCCTCCGAGATCCCCCCCGGGTCCAGGAAGAAGAAAAGACCCGGGAGAAATTACCGGTACGCCGTCGCGATGCGTCGTTCGGCGGAATTGCGGTAATGCTAATAACGTCGCGATGGGATGATGCTAGTGATTGAAGCGATGGGGCTGTTTTTTAGAGGCATGTTGTATCGTTCTCATTACGGCTCGACGAATGTGAGAATATTTACCACTTTGCCGGCCGCAAATTTATCGCGTCGCCGTTAGGTTTAGTTATATTCTATAACTTTATAATAGATCTAAACTTTCGAGATTCGAAGGCAGCGGAAGATAGTTGGAAACTAACAGAGGAAGTTTGCTTAAAAGATTTTAACAAAAGACTGGTATATTGGGAAGGGAGAACAGTGAAGCAATTGTTTGTATAAAAATAGCATCAATGTATTCCTATATAAACATTGGAATGATAAAATAATATCACCGTTGAAAGAAGTCACGCTTACGTGACAGCGGCCGGTAAAGTGTTAAATATTCGAGGTAATTCGCGATGATGATTATTCAATGGAATATTTCTCCCATAACCTGACTCGAAAGTTCGCATCATGAAATTATAATGAATTTCCCAATCGATCACAATGAATCTTTAATTCCGCAGCTTCTATCGATAACCCGATTCCTCGGCGAGTCCGAGGGAGTTTCGTTCGGCCGAAAGAAAGCGAGCAGCATTCTCTACACTGAATCCGGCGGTACACGTTCGTCGGACTATCGCGAGCTCTTAAAATTGATCTGCCCAGGCTAATCACTTACCGGGTGTCGCAAGAAAGAGTTTCGCGTCAGGACGAAGAAGCGCGGCGGACCTGTAACGCGGCTTAGCAGATCGGAGATAAACCGCATCGCGCTTCCGGTTGCCGTTTCCTTTCTCCGCGTTCTTATTCGCTCCCACCCTGTCCGACGGTTCAACGATTAACGACCGCGAAGACGTAAATGGTCGGATAATGTGGAACACGCGTTGCGCTCCGCCGACGTGTATTATCGCGATGCGGGCGAGCTGTGCCGCTCCGAACCAGCGAGCGAGCGAGCGCGGCTTCTTGTTTTCATTTCTTTGCCGGGCGCATTCTTTTTAATCGCCGGCTGCGCGTGCCGCCGAACCCGACGGCGCTCCCCTCCCCCCCTCTTCCAGTTGTTAGCCGCGCATTACACGCTGCAAGTAATTCGAACGATACATTTTTCGAAGGTTCCCGCGGTCGGTTCGACGCGAACGAAAGCTCGGCTCTCCTTTCTTTTTTGTTTCCGCTATCCGGCATTGTTCCCGATTAATAGGCCGGTAGAATTATCGTCGTGAAACGCTCAAAGCCTCCCCCGGCCCCGCTTCAAGCGCCATTGTTCCCGAATCCGTGTATTTGCGTTTCATATTTTCGCCGGTCCCGTTGTCTTTTTTTCGCTCGTCCCGACTCTCCGCGCGCTTCGGGCACCCGCCGACGGATCGAGCGGCGTATCATTTATTAACGGATCAACCGCAATCGGGAATATTCATTATCCATTCGATATTCCGCCGGTTCAATAATGCACGCGCGCCCCGGCCCGTTTTCTCGCGGCGACGCCGCCATTTTGCGTTGGCGCGGCCCGCGGTTTTTGTCTCCGCGACGTCTTCCGTTCGTTGTATCGGAATCGTGCTCGGAATTGTATCGAAACCGATCGCGGTTTCTGCTGCTTCGATCGATAGGGGTCTCGCTGCGCCGATTCTAATCGACGATTATCGGCTTAGTGACGCGTGTTCCGCGGGATGTGGGTATTATTGGAGAAAGAGAAATGGAAGACAATGTTTGGTTTCCTTGTAGCTCGACGGGCACTTCGCAATCTTATCTCTTCTGTGCAATCAATCGTAAAGCAATATTGTGATAGTACAAACGTTATCTACGTTACAAGTAAACAACGTAATTCCACCTTCGCGGGTCGAAAGAACCGAGTCGCTCGGAAGTCGTGCGGTTAAGTCGATCTTCTGATATTTTCTGATTTTTCTCAGTTTAATGAAATAAATAACATTCGTTTTAGATGTACGAGGACTTACTCGGTTCTTCGTCTTTTATGTTAGTATAATAAAATTAATAATAAAATTAAATATAATAAAATTAATAATAAAATAATAAAATAATATATTTATACTTAAATTATTTTATTATTATTTTATTATATTTATATATATAAATAAATAAATATATATATATATATATATAAATATGGTCAGCAAGCCCTTTGTATACCTTCTCAAGCAGATACCTTCTCAGTCTCCATTTGATTCGACTTTGGTAAAACTCTAAAATCTGATATTTAACCCGGATGTTTCTTAATAGAAATATTTAACATTCCTTTACGAGGCGAATACGAGGTTCTTTGAGAATAATTCGAAGAGAAACCAGTACATTGAGGAACAAAGCTGCTTTATTCCAACGTTTCACGTATCGAGGCATTACACAAAGTTTAACGTTAAATATCACATTCTATAGTTTTACTGTGTCAAATCAAGTGGTGACTGAGAGTCACCTCTCGAGTGCAAAGGGTTAATATTGAACTCTGTACAATGCCTTGACACATAAAATATTGTAACAAAACAGCTTTGTTCTCAATGTTCTCGTGATTTCCTTTCGAGTTAGTTTCAAGGAATATCGTCAAAAAATGTTAAACACGTCTAGAAACTTCCGAGCGCAAAGGATTAATTCTCAATATTCCTTTCCTACAACCACATATGCTCTCGATCGCCTCAAATATCAATAGATCTAAACAATCAAATCGTCGTAATGCACAAATACCCAAACAACTCGATAAATCGTTAAGAGGAGCCTGCAGCTGAATTCCAACGAAAAAATTCATCGAATCGAATTGAAGGAACCGGTATGTCGGCGAACGTCATTATCGGTTAATGCAGTTGTCGATCGAGGCACCGGTGAAATCCGTGTCGCCGATTTCGAGGTAACCCCTGCCTGACGGCGATGCGCCGCGTACGGGCGCCCTGAATATTTGAGAGTGCAACCGTCGCGAGCGTCTCGGGGCGTTACAATGCGTCTGCGCCGGCATTTATTACTCATCCGCGGCGCGTTGCGTAACAACGGAATCTTGGACGCGGCTTACGTAAGCGGCGACTCCTACCTGTATACTGCATTTCGCTGCAATGCATCGCGTCGCGTCGCGTTCCTTCACCGGGAACACCTGAATTGCGCGTCTTACGGCGAGATGCGTAAACTCGGGGACTACGGCGACGTCACCGCATAAAGGTACGCTCTGTTCCTTGTTTAAATAGGCCACAGTTTGTATATAGAATCTGTTGTAATTCACGGTGCATCGTGCAGGCGATGCGTCGAGGTATGAATATGCATTCGAATCCGCCCTTCTTTTTTATTAACCCTTTGCACAAGTTTTTCACAAGAATATTCAATATTCTCCGATGAGATACTGACGATGTCCTTTGAAACTAGTTAACCCTCAGCAAAAAGACTATGTCCCAATTCCCTAGTAACTGAAATAAGACTTAATTCAATTCAGAAGCGCCGTCAATCTCTCGAGTACACAATTCGAGTACGCAAAATATTCCAAAATAATCCAAAACAATACAAACCATATTCTGTAACACTACAAAATTACAACTTCTTAACTCGACAATAGCTAACGTAAGACTTCACTCGATCCATCAAAACCAAACTGTTAAAAAACCATCTGGAGTACTGAGGGTTAATATTACATATGAGACTTTATAATTTTGCGAATCAAATCAAGTCACTGAGAGATACCTCTCGAGTGCAGAGGGTTAACCCTTAGCACTCCAGATGGTATTGTCATCTATCAGCAACTGCAACTAATTTTTATAGCATCTCCGGTGAAAATGAAAAATGCTATAACATTCCTTCGATCTTTTATTTTCCTTACTATTTTGAACGGGTATAATAAATTCTATGGTTTATTGCCGTTGGAGTTTTATAAGAGAAGCTTTACTGATGTATCGGTTTTGAAAGAATCATGGACAGTATTCTGAAGAGGAAGAGGTTTATCGTGAGAATTGAAGAGAATCGGGCAGATAATACGAAATATTCAGTATTGTTTAGGTAAAACAGTATTAAAGTTTGTTATACGTCATCCTGGAACCAGGTATTTGTGATCAGTAAGCTGTAATTCGTTTCATTCCGTCCCTTTACGCGGATGGAATCATTCTCTGCACCGCGTGGCGCACGGATTCCGTTCGCTCCGGGGTGAACAGCTTTTGAAAAATTTATTTTGCACGCGAGAAAAGGGAGCCGAACACGCGGACAAAAATTTGGCGAACTTCCGCGATCCGCCTCATTATCTTTCAGGCGTAGTCTCGCATGAAACCCTTTGTCCCTCTGACTTGCACTGAGCACGGACAATCAAATATCTTTGAATTCACATAATTACCTCGGAAATGTCCCGCTGCGCAACAAAGTGTGCGTGAATTTGATAACATAAAAGAACGAGGTAATTCGTTTGCCGATGAGATAAAAATGGAAGGGATTTTAATTAAGGGAACTTCATTGGCGGACCATGATTTCGTTGAAACATTCTTTCGCGATTGAGCGTTTTCGGCGCGTGTTCCATGGTTATTTGAACAAGATTGCTTTAGAATTTATAGGGAATGAGGAATTAGAGGATGCTGGGGCGTGTATCGAATCCGGCTGGAGTTTTTGGTTGATTCGGTTCGGAAACTAGACTGTTCGATTTAATTACCTTGTAATTACCGAGGTTTTCGACGACACACGGTAGGCTGACATCTCTGCCCACTGGCACGGTGACGTTCGGTATTGGCTCGGCAAACATTGGTCGGTCGGACAGCGCTGCAAACAGAAATCAAAGGAAACTTTGTTAGCGTCCAGTTTTTAATGTTGACGGCACGGTTGTTTGTTCGTTCATCGACACGCGGTAGGTCACTTTTCATTAAAAAATACCGTTCAGCGTATAGCGGTTCTAGTATTTTTTCCAGTTACGTTACTCAATATTGGCAATCGCACTCGAGAATCAGAGTTTCTATTATAGACATTCCTGTTACGGTTTCTGTAATGTACACATTTTCGTAACAAAGATATCTACAGTACAGAAATTTCCATAATAAAGATATCTAAATGAAAATTCCTATAATAAATATTTCTCTAACGTACAAATTTCCATAACAAAGATATCTACAGTACAGAAATTTCTATAATAAAGATATCTATAATATAAGAATTCCTATAATAAAGATATCTATAACATAGGAATTCCTATAATAAAGATATCTATAATGTAAGAATTCTTATAATAAAGATATCTGTAACATAGGAATTCCTATAATAAAAATATCTATAATATAAAAATTCCTATAACAAAGATATCTATAACATAGGAATTTCTATAATAAAGACATCTATAATGTAAGAATTCTTATAATAAACATATCTATAACATAGGAATTCCTATAATAAAGATATCTATAATATAAAAATTCATATAACAAAGATATCTGTAACATAGGAATTCCTATAATAAAGATATCTATAATTTAAAAATTCCTATAACAAAGATTTCTACAATATACAAACTCCCATAACGAAGATATCTACAATAGAGAAATTTCCATAATAAAGATATCTAAAAATTCCTATAACAAAGATTTCCCTAATATACAAACTCCCATATCAAAGATATCTCCAATACATCAACTTCTAATCGAAAAATATCTACAACATAAACAACTTCGACATAAAAATCTCTCTAACAATACAAGTACACTAACACTAAAGATATCAAAATGTTCCATATATCATCTCCAACAACGACGTGTAATGAACCAACAATCATTAAACATATCGCTTCCAACAACACCGACGTACCTCCATCAATTACCACCGAGTGTTTCATTATCATTATCGATGCATCGCTCGCGTTACTCGAGGAGGAAGTTGTCGGAAGGGTAGGGGCGCGTGTTCAGACGACGAAAGGTCGAAGGATACTTCCTACTTGAAAATTTCACGGCGTCGATCCAAATAGAAGGCCACGTCGAGCGTCGGTCTGCAAGGTTCCAAAGAAGACGCGGAGGAAAAGGAAGAGGAAGAGGAAGAGGAAGAGGAAGAGGAAGAAGAAGAGGAAGAGGGTCACCGCGAGTCACACCAGTCAAGAAATCCTTTGGGAAAGTTTCAGGACTGGTCAAGGGTGAAGTAAGAGGGCAGTTGGTTGATCGTTCGACTGGAAGAGGGAAACCGTCGATTCCATTTCTCCACTGTATTTACCGGAAGTGCACGCAGAAAGGAGGGGGACGCGGCCAGGAAGCCGCCGCGACGCGTCGACGTCGCGCGATAAATTTTCGATACCTTATCGAGGGACGCTGACCTGTTTACTGCAACCCTTGAACCCGGCCATTTTATGAACTTCATTGGCACAATACGAGATAGTTCTCTATTATCTCGGATTCTAGCTTTTTTCGAGGGGCTTGAAGATTATGTCTGGCGTCATAGTGACCTATACTACTTACGGGGTCGGGAAATTGAGAGAATTATATAGAATTTTCGTTCTTTTTTTTGAGTTAGTTTCGAAATCTGTTGATAATTCTTTAAATTCTATTTAGAATAGGATTAGATATATGATTTTCGATTTTTTACTGTGTATTATCGTTATGAGAAAGTTTCATGTATGAAACTATAAGAGACGAGAATTTCTCGCCAGTTTATCTAAGTATTGACTAAAATCGTCTTAGTCCTTAAAGAATATTTTCCGTCGAAAGCGAAGCTTCTCCGTAAAATGAGGTCAAAATGGAACATCGCGTTCTCCGATCCTGAAAATCTCCTCGCAGGAGAGACTGGTCTATCAGTAGGCGGGATTATTACCAGTAAACATTATACTACGTTTACGGGACCGCGAGTAAAATGTCATTCTGCTCCTAACTCATCGATTACGTTTCACGGCGTCGTTAAACGGTTAAACAAGATTCGGGCGAAGCCGGGCCGCCGCTGACCGTTCGCGGATCGCCGGCCGCAACAGCATTACGCCGTATTTCGTCGGAAGTTAATCCCCCGGAAGACATCCGCGACGCGTTGATAAAATTTATACGGCGCGGTAAATCCGGTTGTAAACCGGCGTTGAGCAAAATTTTATTCGTACAACATAAACGGGATAAGAACAACCGATGAAATTTCTATTCGGATGGAATTCCGCTCGCTTGCAACGGGTAAACAGTCGATCGGAGGAATATCCGTTCGAATAATCCCAAATAAATTAATATCGTCGTTTCCTTATACATTATTCATTGTTCCTTTCACATCGCTCGGCACGGTTAATCTCCATTCCAATATTCAATCCGAAAACTACTTCATTATTCTCCGCCGAAGTCGTGAAAACGCGACGCACGCGAAACCGGCGGATACGAAAAATTATTCAGAACGATCCTTCTCTATTTGCCATTCGTAGACGAACGATTAGATCAGGCGTGGCGAACCTTTTGCATACCGTGCGCCAATTTTATTCACGGACGAGTTCGGATGCGCACAACTCAAACGCTTGCTCGATCTTACGTTCACGGTTGGAGTAGGAAACTAGTGATAGGAGTAGGATCTGCTTCACTTATGGGAGAAAAAGGAGTAACCTCAATCTCGCAATTAACACTAGATTTACGGGCATTTATTGGACACTTTTATTCTATTATTCCCTAAATTGTATTTCCCTTCTATTGTACACTTTTATTCTATTATTCCTAAAGGAATCGATGCTCGTTTATTTAGATCGTGGAAACTGGAGATTTGATAGTAGGTAATTGGAGTACATGTCAATGTGATCGCATCAATCAAAATCGGCGTAAACATTTACAGAATAATATTTCTAAAATCCAATAGATTGTTAGTAACAAAGTAGATCGATCGCAGTTCAAAAAGAAATCGTAGAGCAAGGGGTTTTATGGTTTCCAACCTGGGAGTGGACTATTGCTAGAGGAGGCGCGAAAATTGTTTTACTGTTATTACTAAACGCTAACACTTTGCACTTGTTACGCTGGAGATGACAGTAGAAATTTGTCATTATAAGATAATCTTAGCATTGACTTGTACTTTTCACGTATATTGTACATTTTCACCATAGTTTCAGCTCCACTTCATTAAATGCACATATTTATTCCTACCTCTCGATTACCCAAGATCCACCCTTTAATTATTCATACTATAACACTATAATACTTTCCCTCCGAACGAAGAATCCATTCGGCTAATTTCCTCGGACAAACACGCGGCCGAAACAATTCGAATAATCCTGAAATCCACGAGGAAACTCTCTTCTATCGATCACTTTTCATTTTGATACGTGAGATCCTCTATCCACCTGTTTAAGCCTCGATTATGATTGATCCTCCGCGGTGAAAGTTGGCGCGGAAGAATAACGTCGCAGATTGCCGGGCTACAATGACGGATAGAAGCGTGATTAATGGAAAGAATTAATCACGCGGTCCGTATCGGTATCGAAACGTAATGCAGGTTTATCGGGGGGAGGTAGGGGTACCGGTCGGCTTCGCAGACCGATCGTTAGCCGGCTGCTGCATTTACCAGGCCGCGTTCCAACGGTGAATCCCCGGGAGAACCCGCCGGATGGGAGAACCGGCCGCAAGGAGGTTAGCCTCCAGTTCGAATTATTATTTAGCGTACGAAGACGAATCGCCGAGCTTTCTCCTGGCCAGAAGGTTTCGAATATTCCTGGCCGGGAATAGATTAGACGTCCACTGGCCCGAATCGAGGATCGATCTTTTATGTCCCGATATCGTGTCGGATTCCCGATGAAGATTTCACGTCGTTAGCGGGTCCAAATGTCACGAATAAACGTGGATATAATTAAAATATAGACGTACCAAGTGTAGGAAGAAAACCGAAACGACGGGGCGTTGGGGATTAGGAGGATGTATTTTGGGGAGCGCGAGAGAAGTGACACGGTCTACGGTTTCTCAATCTAATATTTCAATTTCTAAATGTACAATGAATATGCCGGTTGGTCGGTGTACGATATATATCTCTCCGCTGGTGGCGGGGGAGCGACGGACGCGTGGGTAGGATTCCCAAAAATTGGGAGAACCCTACTTCCGCCAGCGGTCCGTCGGTTGGCTCCGTTAGCCGGAGACTCGGAAATTTCTAACGACCGTAGCAGCAGTAGCCCCGAGGATCGCCTCGACTTTAAATTACATGCGGGTATGAAATTCGTAGCTATTGCCTACCTTGGGCTCGATCCACGGATTAACTAAAAACAAGCAATGGGTCCCTGGGCTTTACTGCTGCTAGGATAGGCTCGCAGAAGGGTTTTTTATATCTAATGCCTACGCAAGTAAAAGAATGAATACAATGTGCATATAACAGTCGAGCAGAATTTTTATTTACAACGGACCGTTAATTACACAAGTTTTAACGAGTGCAGTTGTACGGAAATTAAAGGTCAGCTCGAAAATCGTTCCAAATTGGACTGCAAATATAGTTGACTAGTATTCTATAAGCTTTATATTTATATTGTAAACGAATGGCTAACGATTCAACGTTAGCTTCGATACTTCTCGAAACACTCTTAAGAATAAACGATTCTCGATACGACATTAACCTCTCGCCTTTCTCCGCCGTCTCCCGATGGATTCCTTTGTTCCATTACGTTAATAAAACACGCGAGCAGCGAATCCCTCGATCTCCCTTCGACGTTAATATTGCATGGAGCCTCGCCGCGGAGCGACAGTCTAAAATTTTTCTCCGCGATTTTTCTGTCAATAATAGACGATCGGCTCGTCTCGATTCAGACGAGTGTCCCGGAGAATGTACAGCGCGTTACGTAGACCGAATACTCCCGAGACCGGGTTGCTATAGGCGGATTAATTTAATTTGCGAGGAGGATGAATCGGAGTATGTCGCGTTTAACGTGGCATAACGAATCGCGCTTCGTGCATCGCCGGCTGCTACAGTTAACCGATAAATAAGCGATAGTAACAGTACACAGCGGAACAAACGAGCGACGTCGCCGGGGATAAACGCGACAGGATAATAAGATAACTTATCATCGAACGTGTAAAAACGGGCGGCGATAGTGTCGCGATGGGAACTATAATCGATCGGACGGCGAACGAGCGTGTCAACTAGACTGGTACGTGGCGCATTGCGTAAGTACCGATGCACAGACACCGCGGCACGCAAGCACAACGAGCTGCTTATGCTTTCAGCGTCGCACGCGACACGCGAAACCGTTCGGGTAACCGTGCTCTTAATCTCGTGAGACAACGAATCGTTCGAGCCGGCTCGTTCCCCGTGGAAGTTCCCGCCGTAACCGCGGCATCGGGTAAGGATAATTTTCCGCGTCGCGCCGATCGATCGAAGTGGCGAGTCTAACGATCGAACGTTGCGAGGAACGTCGCCGCGCTTTCTCCTAGGAGCTGCTTAACGCGTTAAGCGTGAAAATCTTGACCGGTTTTCTGTGGAGTGGTTCTTTCGTAGCGAAGAAACAATGATTAATTATTGGGCGTTGCTACCTTTGTATTGGATTATTGTCAGCTTGGTTAAATTGGTGAATAGTTGGTGTTAGTAATAAGTAGTTGTTTAGTAGAACGTGGAATGGTAATAATGTATTTTGATTAAAGAATTTAATATCATAGTGTTCATGGTGGTAATGTAAGACTAGCAATTAGAGGAACTTCTGTGTTATGAATAATGTTACCTAGTACGGTGACATTCAACTAGAACGTGGAATAGTAATACAATTCGATTATATAATTTAACTCTTTGAACTCTGAAGGTTCCAATATTGCACCAGGTAGGATATTAAATATTTTAATGAATCTTAAAGAAACTACCCTAAAATTATTAGATTCTCCGCATATCCAAATTTCGTGCTATGAAGGGAAATAAAAGATCGAAGAAATGTTGTAGCATTTCTCATTTCCGCTAGGAATACTATAAAAATTAGCAGTTGCTGATAGATTACAAAACAACCTGCTAAGGGTTAATATTTTGTCCATTTTCTATATTTTCCTCCACGAAATCGTGCGGCGTTCAACCTGTCAATATAGAACCAGCAATTAGACAAATTTCTATATTATAAATACTGCTACCTAATACGGTGACATTCAACTAGAACGTGGAATGGCAATAATATAATTCGATTAAATAATTTAAGCCTTTGCGGACGAATGTCTACATCACGAGATGAAATTTTCATATTTGGAAGACTAAGTAAGCAAATGATTTAATTACTCGAATAGCAAAAGATCAGCACGTAGTTTCATATTTTTCTATTGTTCATGTAATTGATATATAATTTAGCTTCATCTGTTGAGGATTTTGTATATTTCAGAGAATCTTCGTCCACAAAGGGTTAATACCATATTTCTTCCATTTTCTGTATTTTCCTCTACTAAATCGTGCGGCGTTCAACCTGTCAATATAGAACCAGCAATTAGACGAATTTCTATATTATAAATACTGCTACCTAATACGATGACATTCAACTAGAACGTGGAATGGCAATAATATAATTCGATTAAATAATTCAACATCATATTTCTCCCATTTTCTGTATTCTCCTCCACGAAATCGTGCGACGTTCAACGCGTTAATATAGAAAGCAATTAGAGCAATTATACGACAGCCTAAAAATCTGGCATTATCGCGGGTCCGGCACGCAACGTGTTAAAACCCGACGAGCACGCGTGCGGCCTAATTTCCCGGTCACGTCGCGAGCAATGTTGTCCCGCGACTGCACATCAATACCCGCGACGCTCACGCGAGCCACGTGCGTCGTTCCGTGAAAACCGACCCCTTTACCAGGCGGTTTCGCAGCTGTTCCGCGCCGATGCCCGCACGCCAATGGAGAACACCTCTGCCTCGCCTGAACCACCGTCGGCTCCGCGATGGACAACTGTTCGCGTTCGAAACCAGTCGACTTACGACTGCGCAGCCAGTTGGTCGGCGGTCGTCGGACCTCGCGATTCATCACCGATACGTCGATACCGGTCCGCGGCTTCCACTCGCGAGCGCAGTCGTTCGATTCCGCGCGACGGACCTTCGACCGCGTCGTTTCGGATCGAACGGTCACCGAGGATCATTAAACCCTCGTCACACCTGCAACTCGTTCAGCTTGAAATAAAGAAACAAGAAAATCGGTTGGAAGAACTGCTATCTTAACTGCTGTTTTTGATCATTATTGACTCCAAGTTTGTCAATAGTTTACATATTACACTCCGGTTTACGTTCATAGTTGCAAAGTTTATACATTCATGTTGTTTATTTATTATTTTATCAGTTCCATTTGACGAACGTTCGTCAATCGCTGATCCCCGTCGATTCAAAGATTCGGCGCAGTGAAGAGTTCGAAGTGATCGTTCGTTCCCAAGACGATACGCGTTGCATCCTCGCGGCGGCGTTCCTATGACGTGCGATGACGTTCCAGTGACCGTGGAGTTTAAATTCGGCCTCCTCTCGGGCAGGTCGTCCGGCGACAGGAAGGAGACTCTTGCTTCCGCGGATGGTAAACAAGTGCCCGATGACTCAGGTGTTCCACGGAGAATGCGTGTGGCCTCGAGACCCGGTGTCCCGATGGCGATAGGACAGGAAGACCCGCGGAAGAAGGGGGGACGGAAGCGAGAATTTACGAGACTCTCGGAAAGCGACTGAGCCGTGACCGGCGGATTCCTGCGTCGGACACCTGTGCCCCACATACGGCCCGCGAAGGTGAACCATCGATCACGCGGCCCCATCGGTCTTCCCGAGGATACCGGGAAATTATGTAATCTGGAAATTATGAAATTGCTCGGCCTGTCGATCGGCGCGTTTTAAGAACGCGCGTTGGCCAACCGCCGACAGATAAAGAGCTATGATTAGACTTTCTATTCTAGACACGAATACAGTTGCATACCGATCCACCGCGAACGCGTGCGTCCGCCAGCTATTTTCGACTATTTGCGTTCTGAGACGTTACCGTCGGATCGTTTGGCGGCGAGAGCTAAGCCACGATCGTCTTTATCGCAGCGAATCTGCGCTTCCTGCATCGATAACGAAATAATTCGTACACTTTCGTTTTTCTTTTCAAACCGGTTGTTCGCCGCTTCTCGCGGCGGCGATGATAAACTGCGGTTGAAATTCCGCTTTCATCGGCCGTTTCCTGTCTAGGATAACGCTATGCTTTTCGGCATCGATGACACTGGAATGTACGAAGTCAAAGTTCACTGAAATGTTTCTAGGAAGATTTCAGATAGAATGTAATGAATGTTCTTCAATTTGTTCGAATGTGAAGTATGTATTATTATTATTATTACATAGTATGACAGAGATTTTCTGTTATTTTCAAGGAATTGTGAGTAACGAAGTAGATCGATCGCAGTTCAAGAAATCGTAGCAACCTGTTTGAACACGTTCAATAGGAAGAACCTTATGAGCCGCGCATTCGAGCATCCCGCGTGAAAACGCGCCGGTCGTTCCGAAAATCGTCGATCGTTTCGTTCCGTTTAGTCTCGAGGAGGCGACGGGGGAAAAGGAACGAGGCGAACCGGCGGAGGCGGGATCGTTTGATTTTTAACGAAGCTCGAGGCGGCGAGTGCCGCGCTAATTAGAATTTTCGATCGTTACGCGAGTCGCGGATTAAAGCGGCCGGATAAGAGCGGCGGGGAGTGTCGTTTCCGCGCTCGTTCCCGCGAGAACTAGTAACTTTTAATCGAACGGAACGCGATATAACCCCGTGGCCCGTTTCCCTTTATCGATAACGTTACGTGATTTCTCCTTTCCTTCGTTCTCCGTCCCGTTTCCCGTTCGTCGGACGCGAAACGCCGGCGGGAACGTAGGTGAAGACATTCCGCGCGGCGGCCTCCGCGGCGCAGCCGGTTCCGTTCGCTCGCCACAAATTCACAGCCGCTCGGCGACTCACCTTTTATCGTTCCCGGTCATGGTAATTGCGGTTTTACCTGCCATTAGCCGCGTATTTACGAGACGCGCGGGATTCCGAAAGGACACAACGGGTGGCCGGATTCGCGCCGACGCTGGGACTCCTCGGCGTCATTCGGGAGGAGAGCTTTGAAATGCGATAATCAGCTTTCTTGTTTTCGATACTAATTGGCTATCCTTCAACGCGTTTCACTGGTTAGAACTATGAAGAAAACAGAGAGAAACGCTGAACGTAACATTCTCTCATTAACCCCTTGGCGTACTATTTTCGTTACTTTACGATTCACTCGGAAACTACGCCCACGAGAGCTGCTTCGTCATTGTGAGTTCGCTGGAATGTAGAATTGTAACATGTATTCATTGTGAATCTATATTCGTCGTGGATATCGAGTATCCATTAACAACGAAACTGAAGTTATTCGATTATAGTTAGAAAGAAACATATGATATTCATATATTTAGTTCGAAACTTCGTTAAAATTACAGGGCAAGCTATTAACGAAATAAATTGTAATGATTCGTCAAGGTTAACCCCTGGGCGTAATATTCACTTTCGTTACTAAGCTCGTGTAATATTTTCCTATCGACAATCTGTAAGAAATGCAACAAAATTGTCCATTCTACTTCAGGTGGAAATTTCATTTGAAGATAATTTAATTTAATTAACGTTTGCGGAATCATTCCTAGGTTTCTGGAAGACAGTGACAGCTCGGTCAGTTTTCAAAGCTTAGTTTGTTAACACAAGTTTCAGCTACTAGGAACGCGAGCGTCGGTCATTAGGTTGATACATTTTTAAACATCGATCAAATTGGAATTTGTAATATTTGTAACATTTCGCTATCAACTATTTGGAAGAAATGCAACAAAATTTTCCGTTCTACTTCAGATGGAAATTTCATTTGAATACATTGATAGTAGTAAAATGGTTTGCTTTGATCCGTGGGTAATGAACAACATTGATTCTTAAATTAGTTTAGAAATCTTCATCACGAGTCTCACTCGTCATTGTACGCCAAGGGGTTAAGTCCCGAATTATGGTACCTTTGCACTCAAGGAATGAGTCAGTCATCGCTTTATTTGATATAGAAAAATTAACTTATATATGTTAAGCTTCGTACAATGCATCAATTTACGAAATACTACAATAAAACAGCTTTGTTTCTCGATGTACGTAAGTTTCCTTATTAATCAATGTTAAAGAATGCCATACGTCTCGCAGGGAAATGTTGGATATTTCTGTTGAAACCTTTGAGTGCAGAGGTAGCAGTCGAATAGGCTGATGCATGTTTCATGTACGAATTACGGAAACCTGTTTCGTAACGTTCCAGTGGACTCGTACATCCGAGTGCGAGAGAATTAATGTTTTAAATCATTTCGTAGGGAAGGAGTCCTACACCTTGAGTAATTAAATGATAAGGAATATGTAGATAATATATTTCCCCATTGGCGAGCTATCTCCCAGGTGCGGCTTATCACCTGTTTAAACATTACACAAGGAGGACCAATAAGCGTTTAGCAAATAACAGATACTAGAGTATTGATAACACTTCGATATGCGTTAACAATACTTCAAAATTCCGTGTGGTTGCAGTCGCGCGGAGTTCGAGCGCGGCCAACGGAGCAAGCGGATCGAATGAAGTGGAATGAAGCTAGATGAAGGCCGCAAGTCGAATCTCGCCGATATGAAATCATGGATCCTCGGCAAGGGCAGCTTGATCGTTCTATCGACGTTCCTGTGTTCGATGTACCTGCTCGCGTACAACTTCAACGTGAAGATCTATGACGTGTTCACCCTGAAACGGTTCACCGCCGTGACCCTCACGAACTCGACCAAGAGGATACTCTACTGGAACACGATGTTCGGTGACGAAAGCTTTTACCTGGGCTACAGTTTCGATAACTGCCCGGTGAGCAACTGTTACGCAATCCACGACAGGTAGTAATGGGGTATCGAGACTTCGAATCGTTTCGAATGTCCGCGCGCGGCTGAGAATTCGGATCGCTTCGAATGGGATTTCGTGTTCTGCGACTCTTGCGTGTTTCGAGGGTGTGAAAGTGTGGGAGTCATGGAAGTCTTGAGAGTCTTGAGAGTCTTGAGAGTCTTGAGAGTTTTTAGAGCCTTGAGAATCTTGTAAGTGCTTAAAAGTCCTGAAAGTTTTGAAAACTTTGAAAGTCTTGAAAGTCCTGAAGGTTTTGAAAGCTTTGAAAGTCTTGAAAGTTTTGAACACTTTGAAAGTCTTGAGAGTCTCGAAAGTGTTGAAAGTTTTGAAAGCTTTGAAAATCTTGAGAGTTTCGAAAGTCTTGAAAGTTTCGAAAGTCCTGATGAAAGTTTTGAAAGCTTTGAAAGTCTTGAAAGTTTTGAAAGCTTTGAAAGTCTTGAAAGTTTTGAAAGTCGTGAAAGTTTTGAAAGCTTTGAAAGTCTTGAAAGTTTTGAACGCTTTGAAAGTCTTGAAAGTTTTGAACGCTTTGAAAGTCTTGAGAGTCTCGAAAGTCTTGAAAGCTTTGAAAGCTTTGAAAGTCTTGAAAGTCCTGAAGGTTTTGAATGGCTCGAATGACTTGAATGTCTCGAGAGTCTTGAAAGCCTCGATTTCAATGAGTCAAGGACAACGCAATCAGTCTCTGTACTCACAAGTTCAGGACTCCCAAGACTTTCAAGACACTCAACAGTGGAAGTATGTCGAATCCTATTCGAAAGCGATTCAAATTTCTACAGCCCCGAGTTCCTTCGAAACTGTCGAATTCAAATGGCCACCATTGACAATAGATTCGCTGTGGCCGACCTCACCGAGTTCGACGCAGTACTGTTCCACGCAAATGAGCTGGATCTATCGGACCTGCCGAAGAAAAGGAGTCCACGGCAGTGGTACGTTTTCGTGAACCTGGAGAGTCCGGCCAATCGGCCACTGATTCACTACTTTTACGAGGATTACTTTAACCTGACGATGACGTACAGATTGGACAGCGACATCGTGTGGACGTACGCTACTATCGAGGACGCTCACACTGGAGATCTAGTTGCGCCTTTGAGGAACAACACTTGGACACAGTTCTATGACAGAGCAGGTATTTGAATTTTCGGACTTTGCGATTTCCGAATCCTGTTATTCACTTAGACGAGTGCCTTATCAGCTTATAATAAAAATAATCTTAGTTAAGATTGCATATCCAACAGCTGTGATATATTGCGATTGTAATTAACTTATCTACGTTACAATTCGTCAGCTGGGCAGGAATTTTAACCTGGAAACACTCCAGTTTCTATATTTCCAAAGATTCTCAATTTTTCGTGTTCTGAATGAAAAGTGAAATTTCCCATTAACTAAAGTAGAGTTGCAGCTGGAATGATTCAGTGGAGCACCAGTTTAATCGAAATCAGTTGTATCTTCAAAGATAATCAGTAACGCAATGCACAAATTTATACTTCCGTTCGAAAATATCTTGTTTAATCACTGAACTCGTCTAAAAGCAACTATGTTACGAAAGCATCCGCTTCCGATAACACAAGGCTCGTCGGTTTACACGTCAAACATGAACTCATTGGCACTCTGTCATTCATAGTATAGGCTGGTGTTTGTCGATACAGCGGTTATGATACACTCGAGAATGGATTTCCAGCTGTAACGTACATACTAAACAGTTATAAATCAATAATGACGTGCTTACAATACTTGCATCGTTGCTCTGTAAACAGAAAGCCTATTAGAGGCGTCTTCTGTTCGGTTTACTCGTGTACACGAGAAAAATTCAGACCGTGCAACCCGTTACACGCTTCCTACCGTAGACTTTATGCATTAGTACGTCCGCGCAGGGAAAAGCAGTGACCGTTAGCTTCGAAACGGCTTCTAGGTTAATTATACCTTGTATGACACCTGTTATTCTCAACTGCGCGCGACTCGTTAACATTTATACAAAATCAGGCTACGGTCACTCTCCTCGACAGTACATTTCATCGAGTATCATTACGAAGCTGAGCACCGAACGTTCATAATTGTCCGCTATTTTTCAAGTTAATCACCTCCGTTTATCTAAGCCACTTTCGAGTTCAACAACACTACAAGGAGATTATTCCTATATCCCTTAATCCTCAGTGAAAGAGAATTCTCAAAAATTTCAAGAACTCTCCACGAAAGACACAGAATTGCCCATAGGACTCCTAAATACTAGAACAGCCAACTACGTATCTCATTATTTCCACATTCGCATTCTTCGACATACACGAAAACCTCGGCGTCGCCGTTACAATTTACATTTCGTCACGTATTTTATCACACGACAAAGCTGAGCACCAAACGTTCATAATTGTCCGCTATTTTTCAAGTTAATCACCTCCGTTTATCTAAGCCACTTTCGAGTTCAACAACACTACAAGGAGATTATTCCTATATCCCTTAATCCTTAGTCAAAGAGAATTCTCAAAAATTTCAAGAACTCTCCACGAAAGACACAGAATTGCCCATAAGACTCCTAAATACTAGAACAGCCGGAAACCACGTATCTCATTATTTCCATAACGATTCGGCGTCGCCGTTACATTTCGAATAAACAGATACAGCTGCACCAGGATCAGCGATAATTCATATCTAATCCAATCGATGCTAATCCGACTTAGCTGCATCCGCGAGTCTCAGCGGGCATTTCCAGCGGACTCTTAACTCGCAAACCCCGGAACTCGTTTCCATCGGCGACGAGCGTGCGTCGAACGAAAACGAATCACCCAGTGTGTAAGTGACTGCCACTGAAGCTGTTGAAACGCTCAACAACGCGAACTTCCAAGTGCTTCTCAGAGTTCGGAATTAAACGAACGTTCGTCGCGAAGTATCCCGTTTCCCCTCCGCGCGCATTGGTTATTCAAGATGTTTGCTTTCGCTCTTCACCTTTCACCGCGCCGCGACGCGCGAAAACCGCTCTCTTTCCGCGGTTTCCTACCAAAGAACGCGCGCCCGCGCGCGCGAGCGAGCGAGCGAGTGCCCAACTTCATAATCGAGCCGCCGTATAATTAATCCCGGCGCGGCGGAGCGCGTGCTCGCCGCCCGTGTAAATTTATGGCACGCGCTGCCTCGTTGTTCCTTTCGCGCTTCATCGAGCGCCGCAATTCCCCTCCGATCGAAAATAATTGTACGCCTTTCGCATGAATTATTAACGAGATGTACAGTTACCCGCGGAAATGCCCGCTCTGTACTTATACAGTTAGTTTGGGATTGCTTGATGCCTTGCACGAGTGCGTCGGGATTAAGATTGCAACTTAATTTCGATTGAAAGAAAATTACGGGTATGCAGCGGAATGGAAACGGTTATTTGACCGTTGAGTCGCGAGCTGAGTGATCGCGTACTGTCCAAGAGTAATAGCGTATCGGTTCGTAAAATCAAATGGAGATTATTTTTTCGTATCCCTTGTAATTGTTTATTTTTCATTTTGTTGTTGTCTGCTTAGAAACGGGAAAATGGAAGGATACCACTGTTTCGAATTTTTTATGTGATGCGTATCGGTTCGTGGAATGAAATGGAGATTATTTTTTCGTGTTTCTTGTGATTGTTTATTTCTCATTTTGTTATTGCCTGCTTAGAAACGGGAAAATAGAAGGATACCACTGTTTCGAATTTTTTATGTGATGCGTATCTGTTCGTGGAATCAAATGAGATTATTTTTTCGTGTTTCTTGTGATTGTTTATTTTTCATTTTGTTGTTGCCTGCTTAGAAACGGGAAATAGAAGGATCGCACTGTTTCGAATTTTTTTAGGTGGTTTAGTTTCTGAGCTGAACAGCGATCATTTTTCGACTGAGTTTCTGGAAAGGCCCGTGGCACTTAACGGTTAGGTATTTAATATGTTCTGCATATAGATGAGCTGATGTTTCTGTCACTTGTGTAAATGGAACTCGTTTCTGGTAATCGCTGTTTATTAATGAATTGGACGCCGTCGGAGATACATATGTTTCTCGGATTACTCGACAGTTGATTAAATATTCACAGTAAACAGAATCGAAGAAGCGAATCGTTGGAATAACTCTGACGTTGGTTAGCCTCTTGCGCTGGAAAGACGTGCCACGTCGAGACATTTCAGATAGTCAACGATGTCTTTACATTGATAATCCTCTTGCATCACGCATATTGTTTCTAAATGTATCACTCTATACAAAACGATTAACAAACGAAATTAATGTGCACATCGGCGTAAAATAGGTAAAAAAATTCATCGCGCGACGCTTCGTCGAATCTCTAAATTCATTTCCAGCGCAAGTGATTAAAAAGTGCACGAAGTTTAGAAACACTTGATCCATGGTAAACGAGTTAAAAGTGCATCGTACTTAGAATTAAAATTTAGATGTCGATGCTTGAAGAACAAGTATCGCTAGATAATTTTCTATAATTTAGTTAGATCGATTCGTGGAAGGAAATCGTTCGAAGAAACTATTATACACTTTGTATAATAAATGAACCGAGAATCCTCTCGTCGCGAGATTACATTACAATGTTAGTGCTCCCGCGGAGATGGTAATCACCGTGGCATTAGAATTCTCAGCCAGTTATTCATCACGCAGAAATAACGTGTTGTCATGTGGCATGATTACGGGCTATCAGAGAATAACGTTTCCAGAGAGATTCTTTCCGAGCGAAATGGAAAGGTGCAAGCGCCGGGGAACGTGACGGCAGATTGCGAGAGCGTTTTTGCGTAATCGCGTTACGCAACGCTAGATGCATCCGTGGAACTGTCATAATTAAAATGTCGCCGGCTAGGTTAACTGTTGCCGCGAGTGACGCCCACTTTCTCGCTTACGAGTGCCCGGCGCTGTCGTCGTTCCTCCGCGGCGAGCAATCTAATCGCCTTAGGTCTTCGAATTACGACGATTGTCTTCATAAAATAAAGCTAAAGCTTCGGAACAAAATCCAAACTTCCCACGGATTACACCATGCGTCGTGATTATCAGATAAGAGCGAACGTGAAAGTAATTACGCTTTACCGAGCAATTAGACCTTTCGAAATTCCTCTGTTGAAACTACGAGAGGATATTGAGACTTTAGTCGATTTATAATTCAGTTTGAGTATTAACAAAATTTCTTTAATAATTTCTTAGAGTTAGCTTTTTAACCCTTTGCTCTTCGTTGGCTCTGCTATGGAGACAATTTGCATCACAGATGTCATTACATTAATCTCGAATTGTAAGATTCTTCTTTCTATTCGAATATGGGAAATTGACAGAACAAATTGACGCGAATCCACGTATACTTGTAATTTTCCTTTTGAAAACGAAATTTTAGGTTCTTGAACGTCTCTCTATAGAAATGAACTATTGAGGCATTTGAGATGTTCGGAGTGCAAAGGGTTAACACCAGAACTACCGTGCCAGTCAAAATGACTGGTTTCGATTGTTTAGTTTCACAATTATTGATATCTTAAAAGCATTGAACATTCGAAATGATCTTGAAAATAAATAGCTTTGAATACTATAACGAATGTCTGAAGAAACCGAAAATAATTGAAAGTCTGACACTGGCATTGCGTCAACCTACGCAATACTCCCTATTATAATTTCTAATTTCCTATATACTTTCCTTTAACCCTAAATTTTATAGACGTTTATATAAACGATGATAATTATTTTTCGTTGTCAACACAAACTTCGTTTTTTCTTCTTAATCTTTTTTTTCCCGTTTATTCAAAACAACAATCAACAACATCAATATTAACCTACGCGTCTACAGTTCGGAAATGGAATCTGTCTCGTAGCAACTACAACGATCAGGATCATTTGCACAGGTGACAGAGCGAACGACACGCGGCCGAACGAAGCGATCGCCGGCAAGACGAAGCCGATCGTGTGGTTCGTGAGCAATTGCAACGCGAAAAGCGGCCGGGACAAGTACGTCCTCGAGCTGTCGAGGCACGTGACCGTGGACATTTACGGGAAATGCGGGAACCACCATTGCCCGCGCAGCAAGGACTGTTTCCGCGAGGTCGCCGAGCCGGACTACTTTTTCTACCTGTCGTTCGAGAACTCTCTCTGCGAGGATTACGTAACGGAGAAGTTGTACAACGCGCTCAGGTAAAACAATGCCGACCATCCAATACCCCGCCCGCGCGCGGGCGGGCAGGCGCGCGCGTCGCGGACGATTTCACCGATAAAATTGTCAGCCGCAGTTCGCGGACCCGTAATTTGCCGGCCGATTTCAAATGACAACTCATTTCGAGGCCTGTAAACGATGCCCGTTCATCCGAGCGAGGCGTGTGTACCGGCTGGAATCTGAAATTGTTTCGACACGTGTACCCGCTGCGAATGAATTCCTCTGACAACTTTGTCGGCTCTCTCTTCCCCTTTGTTCCGGCCCCTGCCGCGTTAAGCGCGCGACCGTGCGCGTTTCCGCTGCGTTTCGCGATTGATTCGCCTGTCACTTTCCGATTCGAAAGGTAAAGATACGGCGCGAAGATTGCTGGGACCGGTTTCTATGATAGGGAATGTTGCGACGCTAATAAATGTGATATTGCTGGAGTATTTCAACTTTTTGGCTACTGTACGTTACTATAGTAGCTTTTGCGTATGTATTTTCAACGGTATTTTTTCTCTGTTGTCGATAGTTGTGCATGTTATAGTTTATTGTTCAGTGCGCATTGTGAAAAATTTATTAGCCTCAAATCGCGGTGATATTACATTTATGATATGCAGACCGCGCCGATATAGCTTCGAGGCTAGTCCCGTAGCTGAAAGGTCAATTCAAGAGTTTGTTGTAGTGCTCTCTGAAAGTTGTTTTCGTTGCAAATGTTTATAGTTCATGTTACTGGAAAGAATATGTTTTTATTAACAACAGCAACAACCATCGTAAATATCGTATTACTATAAATCAATTATCGTAAAGAATTCATCGAAAGAATGTCGAATATGTCGGTTGTAATAAATTCATTGGACATTCGTAACCACTTTAAAAATTCAGTTTCAGCTTGCGCGGTCTATATAGTTGATATAAAGTCACCGACTTGGATCGATATATCTATTACCATTTATTACCCTCAGATATATTGTCATTTTTCTAACACTCATCGCATTTTTCCAAATTCGTTATCGCGATGATATAAATAATGAACGCAAGTGCATCAGATACCTTCACATTACGTTTACATGTTTCACGTTGCATGCATTATTTACAAAACCATCTCTCACTCAACATAATATTCAATTCAAACATCAATGGCAATTAAAATACGACTCACTCTTCGTTCGATCACCCATTGGATCGCAGCGTCAACGACAGAGTTCAAGAGGCAATCCTTTTCCCTCAATATCAAAACATCATTCACCTCAGAATTAGACGTTTATCAAATTAGAGGTGTCCCGTTCGCTGATTCCAGGTACAACATAGTGCCGATCGTTTACGGCGGCGCGAATTACAGTGTTTTCGCTCCGCCCGGCTCCTACATCAACGCGCTGGACTACGACTCGCCGAGAGAGCTCGCCGGCTACCTGAAGACCCTGATGAAGAATCCCCGGGAGTACGCGAAATACTTCAGATGGAAGAAGTATTACAGGATAAACAAAAGTAGCCGCAGCGCGGCCTGCAATCTCTGCGAGTTCCTGCACAAACGGTCCGCCGCGGAGCCGCGCTGGTACTCGCCGCTCACGGATTGGTACAGCCGGGGCAAGTGTCCTCTGCAGAGCCACCTGAACGACGAGAACTACGCGACCGGCGCCATCTCGAAAGAGCGAAGACTGAACACGTGAGCTTCGACTAAATGGTAGAAAGTAAATCGAACGCTTCGTATCACTCGATGTTTCATGACGAATGCAAATAGTATTGGGTTTAATTATTAACGATCCGATGTCATAGCTCTGTCGACTCCTCTCGGGTTGTCCTACGTATTTACTTCGTACACCGCACTTTGCGTCGAGCTGACTATTATCGGCGGATTCTTGAAAATGTGTTAGAGTGACAACGTTTATCTTTTGAGACTCGTCGGAAATTAACCTGTGACCCGCATTTTGGGGAACTCTGGTTTGCGGTACTGATTCATTTATTTATTGCCAGATATTCGTGTGACAAGATGCGCCTTTCGTTGCGACCAATTAGCCCGTTACTTTCAGGTGCCTTCTTTCTATCGATTATACACATAACGAGCTCGATCGCTTTGAGCTAATCATACTCGAAGGGACGACTTCGGTTCCTTCTCGACAAAGTGAAGAATGTGCTATTTTTTATCATTTTTGAAAGTTATAGACTGGAGGGCGAGAATTGAAGTTCGCGGAGGGTTGGTTAGAAGATAGTGTTTTCTACGGTTTATCGTTCGCTTTTGCACGATACGCGAATGTACAAAGTCCTGTCCGGTGATCGGTAGAAGCAGAACTTTCGAGCGAGTCAGCGCGCACGAGTTGCCTTGTCGCTTTCAGAGAAGTATTAGAGAATAGTACAAAGGGTCGGGTGCGTTTCCAAAGATTCGACGGTTTCGTGGGCCGAAATACCGAAGCGCGAGAGATATATTTAACGGTTGAGTCGGGTTTGTTCGGTTTTGAAACGAATCTATTTATATGAAGAGACGTCTGTTGGCCAGCGTGGGAACGAAACGCAGGCCAACGCGATGAGAAAAGTTTACTGGACTGAGAAGTCGAATAAAAGTTGACTGTGTACACTTGTTCTGGTTTTCTTTAATCATTCCGTATCCTCGGCGTCTCCGAAATCCGTCCTCCGTCCCTGCACACTGAAAAGTGTTCCATCGTTGACGGTTTTCATATTCAAAGGGCGAGATGGCGGGGGAGATATTCATTTCTCCAGGAACCTTTCTTCGTCATTTACCTCCAGCTTGCATACACTGGAAACGTAAACACGCGAGCGTTCGATGGACGAGGAGCAACATTTAGACTGTCGTCGAGAAATCGTTATCTGGTGACCCAGAAACATCAACGGGAAATTATGCGATGCGACCTCGCGAGAACACGCCCTGATCAGGTGAGCGTTTTACCGAGCAGTGCACACTTCACCGATGAACTTCGTTTTCCCAGTACACTCGTCATTTTAAACACAAAGTAATAACTTGTTCAACAAACAATTATCTGTTCTTTCAGATAAGCACTAGGTGCATTTGCTCTTCGACGTGTGTACACGTAGGTTGATTTTATTCGAGATCCCACAAGAAACTTTTACAGTTCCTCGGTTAACACTAGAACTACCGAGCATTTAACACGATTAATGTGCAATTTCTATAAAAATTGTAGTAGATTATTTTCATTTTCTTCAGACATCCATTATAGTGCTGAAATGAAACTATTTTCAAAATCATTTCGAATACTCAATAATTGCTAAAGAAAAATATCGAGTCATTTTGACTGGTACGGTAGTTTTAGTTAATTGTTTAGTCGTGTGTATCGGCTCGTAGAAACGAATCAAGCTTATTTATCTATGTTCCTTCTAATGATTTGTTTCCGCTTCTATTACCATTGGAAATGAAACTTCGAATTCTTTTGCGTAAGAATAGATAAGCGTCAGTTTCCAAGTTGAAACGAAAGAAGCGTCATCGTGCCGCTCGCCACTTTCCTACCGAGTTTTCGCGAAACGGACGGTCAACGAACGCTTAGTTAGAGGTTGTCGCTTTTCAACGTCACGTGTGTCGATTGACGTGCGAAACGAAAAGACAGGTAGCAATTACAATATTCCTGGTATTACAATATTCTGAGATACCGATGACACCTGTACGTCGCACTAAAAAGTGATTGCGTCGTTAATACGCGGAACAAATTTATGCAGGATCAACAGCTTTCCGGTGCGATTTATATAGAAGATTTTGCTTCCGGATGAGTCACCGATGCGGTTCGAGTAGCGTGGCATTTCGACGCTTACCTGGTTGCGTCATCCGTCGCAATCATTACGAATTGCTGAAGGTGACCAGTCAATTGCGTTCTGCTAGCGCAAGTACGCGACAGCGATAATATAATTAGTGCTCGGCGAATATGTGCGTCGCGACGCTCCGTTCACGGTGGAGCGCGAAACAAGCGAACTAGTTATCTTCGAAGATTATAACGGTTGTCTTAAGGCCTGTACACAATGCAACATCCAATGAATCGTTCGAAGGAAAGAGTGAAAGTAGAATATCTTTCATTCTATATAAAATGGAAACAATGTTTGAAAATTGCAAATTGCATATCCACGAGTAATTTAATTCGCATTGAAATTGTTTTCTACCACAAGAAAACGATTTATTTGATCGAATATCGAAAATGATTCGTTTATTAAGTTAATTGATTGAAATTTTCCAATCGACCGTTCAGAGTTTTCTTATAAATTATAAAACTGCACTCGAGATTTCTTCTGTGTAGCTCATTTCGCATAATACTGAATTCGCTTAACAATCTATAAGGTTCCTAGTCAGCCGCTCGAAGATTATGAAAACTTCGGCCATCCAATATTTCCGCCAGAAGTTCGTGAGTGTCGAAGCATTATCCTCGACCGCGAAGAACAATGCGTCCCAGGATTCTTCCACGTTCGCAGCGACGTGAATTCGAAACAACGATGCTCCTGGAAGAAAAGAAACGCTTACGAGACGCCGGAGTACTTCGAGTTCGCGAACGTCAATTGAAATTCGCACAATCCTCCGGAAACTTCGGCCGAGTCGCCGAATGGCGTCGCGTATCTCGCTTCGTTGTCCCGTAAACATCGTTACTCGCGTCGAAAGAGACTTCCGCGCAAGTCTTCCCTCCATTCTTCGATAATTTCTTCGGCGAAGCCGGCCGAAGAAATTTTCGTTGCTTCGGGAAGTCTGAAAAGGCTCGCCGTAATCGCATCCGAGCCGCTGAACGAACGAACGTTCCCGTTCCCATGGACAATTAGAACATTTCTGTTACACAGACATCATTTCCGACTCAAGAATCTCCTATATAAAATTCTTAAAATTCACATTCTATTCTATTCCCGCCACATTCTAACGTCGATTCGAATACGATACACGAATTATCCGTTTCCCACAGCTGTCTCGCTAAGGAAAAACAGCTTTGCGCAAGAGAAATGGCGCTGAGATTAAGGAAATCCTCTCGTGAAGCATGATCGCACGATGTAATGTTTCAACTAAGCCAAGAGGACTTTTTCCTCGACTGTCCTACGAACGACTGCTACGTGACCCGCTATAGGACGCTCGCGAACCAGACTGCATCTTGTTTCGCAGACTGCATCTGGCCACTTTCTCCCAATTTGAATCATTCTGTACTCCGTCCTATCCTAATACATTCCCCTGCAGTTTCAGCTGATTCTATGCACCTGTGGAGAAGGTATTAACCATTTGAGTGCCACGTGTCTGCTGTTTTCCCGTCCAAAAGTGCCAAGCATCCAAATGTTCGACTGAAATTAAAATTCGTTCTACCAGCTGTCTCATTCTTTTACTTTTACCTAAAATGGAATGGCAACCGTGAAGTCGCGCATCGACGGAAACCGAGCGTGTCGCGGTTATCGGCTTCGCAGCCTAGAGCGCTGGCACTGTTCGAGCGACACAGAAGCGCAAAATCGCTCCTTGGCACTCAAACGGTTAATTTAGCAACGTTTAGATTTACACTCTGCGTCGTCCAGCGTGGACCCATACTTTTGTGCACTTCTGGGATCCACGCTGGAGACAATTGACGATCGATGGACGGTCGATTCTCTTCATGGCACGCATCCATAGCTTATGAAAACGCCCAGAAGAAAAATGGCGAGTTAAGAGTGTCGAGAGGTCGACGAAAGCGGAAGGCTCGAACGAGTTCGGACCGCAAAGGGGCCGGTTAAGTAACCGTCACCGGAGATAAGTACCAAATTCAATCTACGTACGTAACCGGGGGTCCGAGTGGTTCTCAAAGTTCATTATGAGACGGCGGGCCGGTCCGTCGCAAAGTAAGCGGCCGTGTTCCGTACACATTGATTATTCAAGAAGTTTGCGCTGGCTCTTCGACCCCGGCTCGCTCTCGCTCGCCGGCGAAAAACCTCTCTCCGCTCATTAATATACCGTTCTTCGTCCCGTGTACCCCGGGGAATTCTCGATCGTCAGCAGGTCGTCGAAATATTCGTTTGACGTTTCGACGCTGCGTTTCCGAACTATCGAGTAGAATCGATCGGTTTGCGTTCCGTCGCGCGCTTTAGTAATTTAATTATAAATTAAGCTAATTTAAGTAATTCAATCATTTTCGAACCGACCGTTTTGAGTCCTCTCGTGTAAATCATAAGAGTGCGCTCGTTGAGACCTCGGTTGCTTGTATTCTATTTCGCGTAGTACAGATTCAATTGGTTTATTAATCAATGGAGACGTGTCACTTCTTCATAGTTCTAACAGAAGAAACTATAGAAGGCAACGAACAATTCAGTCGGTAATTATAACGTCAGAGTAACGAGTGCTAGTAGGAATGTAAGTAATAAATCTGTGAATCGCGAGCGGCGTGCTCGCGTTACCGGGCGTTGAAGTCTCCGGGGAGCGAGCGAAGATCGAGCTCTCGCAAGAGGGCCGGAAGCCGAGGCCTCGTTAAGCGGCCATGATAATCGTCGAAAGAAAGCTAGTTTCATGGTTCGTGAGTAATTGCGACACGACTGACGGCCGGATGCATTGCGCTAACCGAGCAATCAATGCGGTTTGATGTAGATATCAGACTTTCATTTATTCCTCTTTGTTCTGTTAATTAAACGTTATATCTCTCGACCATCGCTCCTGCTATAATTATACACAACTATAACGTCTTCATCCACGGTTGCTACAACTATTCATTATCTACAACTGTAAACCGTTTGTATTTAATTAATACCTTACCGTCCATACCTTGCACTTGTTTCCTGAAAACACTCGTTAATACGATTTAACGGCGTTCAATCAGTTTCTATTGCCCATATTCTCATCTACCAAGATACGAAACATAATTATCTCTAAAGCTACGTTTTTATCCGACGCACAGACGTGTCCGACTCGTCCGCGACGAGCGCAATCATTTCCACCGAACGAATTAATTCGTTAACCCGGTTTCTCCTGATAGAATTCCAGCGAGCCGCGTCGGCGGTCGATCCCCTCGCGAAATATCGCTCGTCGGGCTTCCGTTCCGCGAATCGACGCGCGTCGGCGTCAAAGCCGGCCGATCCGTGATCCGCGGAGACCGCCGAACAACGGGGTCGAACGGGAAACGGGAAAAATAAGCTGCAACGACCGGCTGGAAAAATACGTAACGCGTTTTCGGAATTCAAAAGGGACCGGCGGCTTTTTATTTTAAAATATCGCGAAGCTTCGCCACGGCCGTCCACCAATTTGTCGATTCGACACGGTGAACTTTTGTGCCGGGGACGCCTCGTGACACGCTCAAACTGTCTCCACCACCCCCCGCCGATCCTGTGCACGGCCGCTAAATAAAATCCCCGGTGTGCGTTTCGCAAACCGGGAACGCTGTCGAACACGGCTCGAAATTTGTAACGATACGGTGTCCCGTTTGTTCGAGTCCCGCACCGCGCGATTCACCGTGAAATACATCGGTTTATGATTTGTCGCCTTGAGGAATAGATTCTCGTGACTTGTGTTACTCGTTGAACCTTCAGCATATGAAGCTAAATTATATATTAATTGCTTTATTGATAGAAAAGAGGGAAACTACGTGTTGATCTCTTGCTGTCCGATTAGTTAGATGATTTGTCCACGACTGAGTCATCT